ATTTGATGAAGGCGATTCGTATAAATACTTAGAGCTCAAACAGCAACTGGGACTAAAACACAGCGAAATCAAAAAGGACTTAACGGAAAAATATAGAAAACGCCTTGTAAAACTGCTAAACACCAAGCTGAATTCCAAAAATATAATATCAGCCATTAATGGGCAGTCCCAGCCCTAATTTATTCTTTTGGTGTCGTTAAATGGAGCAACACCGATCTGGAAGAACTAGACAGGCTAACAAGGAGGTCCATGACAAAGTTTCGTATGCTTCATCCTAACTCTGCTGTGGAGCGGCTCTACCTGCCCCGCAATGAAGGCGGCAGAGGACTAATCAACGTATCCCAGATGTGCAACACACAAATCATGCATCTTCGGGAGTATTTCTTAAACCAAAATAGCGCTCTAGTACAACTAATCAAAGAGGCAGATTGCAACGCAACTCCCTGTATATGTCACAGTTGCAACAGCCATCCAGATGCAATGCAACAAGAGAAAGGTTGCAATCTTGGAAGAACAAACAATTGCATGGCAGGTATCCGTCTCAAGTGGAGAAAGTTGGTATTGACAAAAAAACATCGTTCTCGTTTTCCAGCGTGGCTTCTTACACCCAGAGACTGAAGGGTTTATCTGTGCTATACAGGATAAGGTTATCCGCACACGAAATTATGACAAGCATATATTGAAGAACCCTATCACTGATAAGTGCCGTAAGTGCGATACAGTAGGCGAAACAATCGAACATGTCACAGGAGCATGCCCTAACGTGGCCAAAGATGCATACTTAGGCAGACACAACAAGTAGCCGCAATAATACACCAGCTAATCGCACACAAAGAAGGTCTAATAAAAGCAAAGGTGCCTTACTACAAATATCACCCTGTGTCCGTTCTAGAAAATCAGAACCTATTGATGTATTGGGACCGCCCAATAACCACTGATAGGCGCATAGAGCATAATCGACCTGATTTAATCCTTATAGACAAACAGAAACAAATGGGAATCGTAATCGATATTGCGGTTCCACTTACGCATAATCTCAAGTCCGTGAAAACTGAGAAATGCTCCAAATATCAAGACCTCAAAATAGATTAGCACGGATGTGGAGTTAAAAGAAGTAATGATTATTCCCATCATCATATCAGTGGAAGGGGTGGCCAGAACGCCTTGTCGGAGAATTTGAAAGTCTTGAACCTTCCAAAGGGTACATGTATACAACTGAAGAAGGCAGTGATCCTCGACACTTGGCGGATTACATTAAGTTTTTATCGATATAGGAAATTGAGGGCGGGTCATGATGAATTTCATTCCACCCAGAGCCACCATCTATAAACATCATTCGAGGTGGCCCAGATACTACCAGTGAAGCTGTGAAAACTCAGGAAAAGAAAAATAAAAAATAAGAAAATAATAAAAATAATAATGATACGAAGCTAATAATAAATTAAGAATATAATAATAAGGATAATAAATAATGAAATATAAATAGTTATAAGAAGAATAATTAATAATAAATTATAATTAATAAATTTAATAATAAGAATAATATAATAAGAATAATAATAATATTAGTAATAATGATTATAATATAATAGTAATTATAATAATAATAATAATATAATTTAATAATAATAATAATTATAATTATAATAATATAATAATCTAATAA